AGGGATTTGTCCAAAAGAAAAAAAGTTTCAGGTAAGCCTGTCTTGCTTTGTGTCCATTAAGAAAATAAATGAAAAACTGAACATTTCTCCAGGATGTACCTCTCACCAAAGCAAAACAAACAACCACAATGATTATCATCAAGGAGCACAGTAGCCTCAATATTTAAATCCTGGAGATTTTTGCTCAGCCATAAGGTGCTGAAACCTGGTACCAGGTAACCAAAAAAACCCCAACGAACCAACCAAACACCTAGAGAAAAAAATTACCCTAGGGGAAACCCAGTACACCTATACTAACTACGAAAAATTCAATAAACAATAACTATATACAATAACCTTTGTTTTAGGTACGCAAGTGTGTAAGAGATAGAGATGCTACTTGCAGTTTCATATCACAGATACAGATGTTAGAAAGGAACTGAAGGATGGCTGGCCACAGTCAGCCCTTTATGCCCTCAGAAGATGGGGCACATGGGTGTTCTGTGCGCAAGTGCAGCCCCAACAAACGCTGCTGGCAAAAAGATTCTGAGCTCGAGTGCACCAAGAGTGGAACACATACGGGTAAACACTTGAAGCACTGTAGATGCTGAGTGCTTTTGAAAATTATTGTCTTTAGAATCTAGGTGCCAGGATATCCAATATATGTGTGGTTGCGACCCTGATTAAAAAAACATGGGCAGGTGATGTTCCATAGTACAGCATGATGTATATGGAGATTATCCAGTCAATCTAAGGAGGATTTTTCATTTGAACTTCTAATATACCAGTGCAGATTTAAAAGCGATAAGCATTCAAAACAACCTACCACTATGGGTATGACTGTATGAGCAGCTTATTTCTAGTGGCTACCCTCAGAGGTAGGTCACCCAAACATCATATATGAAACATAGACATTAATTAATCCACAAATTACACCTCTATGCTATGTCCTCTTTTGCTTACTTCTAAAATCATAGAATCATAGAATATCAGGGTTGGAAGGGACCTCAGGAGGTCATCTAGTCCAACCCCCTGCTCAAAAGCAGGACCCATACCCAATTAAATCATCCCAGCCAGGGCTTTGTCAAGCCTGACCTTAAAAACTTCTAAGGAAGGAGATTCCACCACCTCCCTAGGCAACGCATTCCAGTGTTTCACCACCCTCCTAGTGAAAAAGTTTTTCCTAATATCCAACCTAAACCTCCCTCACTGCAACTTGAGACCATTACTCCTTGTCCTGTCCTCTTCCACCACTGAGAATAGTCTAGAACCATCCTCCCTGGAACTACCTCTCAGGTAGTTGAAAGCAGCTATCAAATCCCCCCTCATTCTTCTCTTCTGCAGACTAAACAATCCCAGTTCCCTCAGCCTCTCCTCATAACTCGTGTTCCAGACCCCTAATCAGGATTGATTCTTTGAGGACCTGCTCCATGATTTTTCCGGGGACTGAAGAGAGGCTTACTGGCCTGTAGTTCCCAGGATCCTCCTTCTTCCCTTGATGTAGGTGATATATTAAGCTAACATGTTTCACTCTGCATAAGTGGTGCCTGATATGTTTTTTTCAGTTTTTAAAACAGTCTTCAGGACTTTCAGAAATATTTAGGATATAAACAACAAAACATGTCATTTACATAACACTTCTCATTCATACATCTCAAAGCACTCCTACAAAGGAATTCATTTCAGTGGGAAAATCTTAGGTTGCAGAGCGTTAATGACCTAATTAAAACAAAAAAATAGGAGGGGCTCTATTGGCTGATTGTTTTGCATGTATATTTATAAAGCACAGTTCCATTAGAATACAAAAATAGGGTTACTCTTACTGAACAAAGACTAAATCTGCCAAAATACTCTAAATATTAAGGTCTGTGTGACGTTGCACTCTATACGATTGTATGAAAATATGCTAATGACTGCGAATATAATGTAACTGGAATATGCTTCCTACAAAAGGTCTCTTGTAAGGTATTACAAAGCTTATAATCTACTGAGTGTGGTCATCTTATTTGTATCAGTGTATCACTTGAGTATCTGAAACTAGAAATATGAAATATAACTCTGAGGGCCTACTGTAATTATGCAAAGTGTGGGCCATTAATGGTGGTTTGGAATCTTAATGGCTCCCATTAACCAGGACTGTAGAGGGCTCTGTTTACTGGTAAGTCTTCCTGTATACCTGTGTGCTGGCAAGTGCATAATGAAGTCTTACAGTGACATGTGATCATGTCAGCTGAACGCGAATCCATCTTTAACCTGGGGCTTTTCCATTTAGAGGGAGGGATGGGCACCCAGACAGAGACAAAGGATACCCGCCTTGTGCAAAATATATCTAAGGGGGTGGAACAGAACAAAGGGGGCTGCAGTCATGAGAAATCTCCTACTTACCATCTGACCTGGAACAAGAGTTGTACAAGGAGAAAGAATTGTGCCCAGTCTAGGAAGGCGTCCAGTCTGTGATAGAAGCTTATTGAAACATCTCTGAGGGTGAGATTTTATCTGTATTCAGTTTTCTTACTATATTAGGCTTAGACTTGCGTGTTTTATTTTATTTTGCTTGGTAATTCACTTTGTTCTGTCTGTTATCACTTGGAACAACTTAAATCCTACTTTTCGTATTTAATAAAATCACTTTTTACTTATTAATTAACCCAGACTATGTATTAATACTGGGGGGGGGGGGGAAACAGCTGTGCATATGTCTCTATCAGTGCTATAGAGGGCAAACAATTTGAGTTTACCCTATATACGCTTTATACAGGGTAAAACGGATTTATTTGGGTTTTGGACCCCATTGGGAGCTGGGCATCTGAGTGCTGGAGACAGGAACACTTCTTAAGCGGTTTTCAGTTTAGCCTGCAGCTTTTGAGGGACGGAGTTCAAGTTTGTGTTTGTAGCAGGCAAGCGTGTCTGGCACAACCAGGCAGGGTTCTGAAATCCCAAGCTGCCAGGGAAAATGGGCTCAGAGATGGTCTCAGCACATCAGTTGGCAGTCCCAAGGGGGTTTCTATGATCCAACCCGTCACAGTCTGTACTCTATTTTCCAAAGCTGAAGGCAGCAGAACTCTTGATTCTGAAAGGGGGGAGGAGGATAGATGATACATAGAAGAGGCCATTCTCTGAAGTTCTGTAGGGTTGGAAGTCTTAAGTTTTGATGTAAAGAAGGAGAAAAGTCACTCTCCTCTCCCTAGTAGTGGATATCTGCACATAAATTGCTGCTGCCTAAACCAGCAGCAGCTCAAGATCCAGGCCTGTCTCCCATTTCTGTGATGAGGATTTTGTAGAGATGCTCGTAGCCTATCAGTTGTATGGATTTTACAGGAGTCACGCTACCAATTAAAAAAGGGAACAGGAGCATAGATTCCCACCCCCTTGATCTGTAGGTTTAGGAGGGCCACGTTCACCCTCAAAGCTGTCCCACCTACAGGGAGTATTTCAAGGTAACTGCAACCTTTCTGGAGTGCCCACCTCCCTGTTCCAGCTTCTTTCTGAGGTGTCAAAGGGTATAATTTGGCCCTAAATTAATTTTATGTACATTTTCAAAACTGTTTCTGCTTCACAGCCACTTATTTAAGTCACATTGCTACTATGAAAGAACCGTCTGTTCCTTTGTTTATATTCTTTTAGTTTTGTGCCTATAAAAGCAAATAGGCATCACTGCTTACAAGCAAGCATAGAGAATGAAAGAACTGAATATGCAACTGCACGAAGTCTACCAGTTCACCTCATCTCAGCTCTAAAATTTGCTCATTTTAAGCAACTTGTATTAAGAAAAATTGCCTAACTCTCACTCTTTTTGGTTTTGTGCTCTTAAAACAAAAAAGGTTAGTTTTTAAATCAAAATTTTGGAAGTAGTAGGACAAGTTATACTTTGTAATACAAATTTTTTCAAACTAAAATTAAGGTACCTGTTACATACCCAGAAACAGAGGACAAATACATACTCATAAATTTGGAATACCATGTACTCAATACTCAAAGTACATTCACCAGCAAAAAACAACAAACTTGTCTAATCTTTATTATTAACATTTGATAGACATGCCTGATCTATTAAAAGTCTGATCAGAGATTTCTCTCAATTTCCCATTCATCACTAGAAATTGTGTGTCATGAATATTGTCATGATGCTTGCTCTGTCGTATGGTAACACCATGTTAAATAGAGAGATCTGATGACTATATTACTTTGTGGTACCTCTAAACCAGGGGTTCCCAAACTTGGTTTGCGGCTTGTTCAGGGTAAGCCCCTGGCAGGCCGTGACACACTTTGTTTACCTGAGCATCCACAGGTACGGCAGCTTGCAGATCCCAGTGGCTGCGGTTCACCGTTCCCAGCGAATGGGAGCTGCAGTAAGCGGCATAGGCCAGACCACCACTTCCCGCAGCTCCCATTGACTGGGAACGGCGAACTGCAGCCACTGGGAGCTGCGAGTGGCTGTATCTGTGGACGCTCAGGTAAACAAAATGTCTCACGGCCCGCCAGGGGCTTACCCTGAACAAGCCGCAAACCAAGTTTGGGAACCCCGGCTCTAAACAAAAGCTCACTGTTGTAATGATTATTGTTTGTTTTTGATATTTACTTGGCATCACTTTACAAACCTGTTAGAACTTCCTAAATAAACAGATAAAAAAACCCTTCAGTATGAAAAACATAGTTTTAGTCTGAAGTCATTTGGGCAGGGTGGTACCAATTTACATGCCCAATTTATTTTTACATTAACTGGCATTTTCAGAGTAAATCCTCTGTACACAGGTAAGAGAATAGTTGCTATAAAGAAACCCACAAGGAAGGATTACTTCTACAGGTTTGTCTTAATCTTAATTTGTTAATGCATTTTTTCTAATGTATTACAATGGAAAATGAAGATACTAAATTAAATTCTGATTTCAGCACAAAGATCTTGACAAATTCCTCTGAAACTGACCATATACATTATAATGGAATTCATTTAATAAATTATTTCAGAGAAAAATTAATTTCATTTGTCTGCTTTATAAAGACGGAAGAATATCAGAACTTGCCTGGATGTGACATATTTTTCATACATTTCCTCTCTAGTTTTTTTGGCATCCTCCAACTGAATTTGAAGTCTTTCAAGGCGATCTTCTTCATGGGCACAGCGAACACTGAGCTCCATGTTCTGACGATTAAGATAATCCTTATCCTTTTGCAGTAAATTAACAGACTGCTGTAAAGTTGCAACCTATAAAAAAAAAATAGGACTGACATAAGACATTCTATCTTGAATTTCAAGTTAATTTTTTTTTAGATTTAATCACATATACACACATTTCCATTATAAAAAGTAAACATTACTTTTTCCCTTTTAAACTTGCCCAAATTTAAAATACTCATTTCACATTTAAGCTTAATATGGACTTTCAAACTTGAAATGCAGTTCTACTTTAAGAAGGGACTCTAAAAATGGAACTGGCATTTCACATTTAAGGTGGCTTAATTTCTTGCTCAGATTAGCTTTAATTTATAACTAGCTACCAACCCTGGAAGCTCAACCTCTTAACACAGATGTCACACTGTATCCCATGTTCCTACAGCATGGGAGACAGCTTGGCTCTTCCTGATAAATTTGTCCCACTGCCCTTGGGTAACCCATGATATTTTATCAGAGGAGAATCTCCTGATTCTGGCAGAATTTCTCAGACTCTTTGGCATTCAGTCTCTCTCATCTGCCCATCACCCGAAGACTACTGGGCAAACAGAGAGGGTCAATCAAATCTTGGAGCAGTATCTTCACTGCTTTTTAAATTACCATCAGGATGACTGGTTTCCCCTGCTGTGCCACACCAAATTCACATATAACAATGCTATCCATGCCTCAACATTGCTCATACTTTGCAAACTATGGCTTTTACCCCTCTTCCACCCATACTTGCACATAAGTTCCCCAGTACCGGCCACTGTGGATTCACCCTCAACCTGCATTAGGTGCATCGGGAGCTCAAGTAACATCTGCAGTCTGCCAAAGAAGCCTACAAAACACCAAGCAGACCAAGACCAATCTGGCCATATGGGACAAGGTGTGGCTCTCTGCCCAGAACTTTATATCAAGCCACCCACCTGTCAAACTAGACTACCAATGCTTGGGCGCTTTCAAGATTGTAGAATGGGTGACCCAGTGGCTTTCAGGTAACAGCTGCTTGAGTCCCTGAAGATCCACCCCATCTTTTACATCTTAGTTTTAAAGCCCTACAAGGAGAACCCATACCCAAACCTCTGTAACCAACTCTATCCCTCGCCCCACATACCATTCCATGGATAGGAGGAATACTTGGTCCACCAAATCCACTGTCGGTGACTTAGGGGAAGGCTCCAGTATGTGGTGAATGGGGAAGGCTATGAATTGGATGAGCGGTCTGGGAACCAGTAGAGAATACCCACACCTTGGACTTATTACAAGAGTTCTATCAGAAGTACCCCTGAGAACCCAAGTGCTGAGGCCCCTAGGAAGCACCCTCAAGTGGAGCGAAGGATAGAGTCAGAAATCAGAGCCTGCACCAGTCTCTGAGCAACCTAACGAGTACAGTTGGTCATTAGAAGGATGCTTGACTGTTTGGCTGGAAGAGTCAGAAGCCCAGCAGCAGCAGTTGTTCAGCAGCTGCTCAAAGCATTCATCCATGGCTGTGATAGCTCCTGTGCCTGTTTATTCTCAGCCTTGCCTCACATTAGTTAACCTGGTTCTGACTCCAGGCTCCAATTCCTGGCTACCAACTCCCACTCCAACCACTAGGACTGACTGTTCACATTCCGGTCATGTGACACAATATATGACAGAGGAGTCATAATTTATCCCGTTCCATTGCTAAACAAGTTGTTATCCTCATATGTTACCTGTTGTTTTCTGTCCCAGAGGATCCCCAAGGACTGAGGGCAAACTTCCTCATGACTACTGCAGTGGCCAATGTGTACAATGCAGTTTTAAATGCATCCAGCATAGGCTGTAGTGATTTGCAGAAAATAAACTAAATCTGTCATGGCAAAAGGAATCTCCTTCTGGTGTTCTTAAATTGAGACAACATGGTTCAGTTTATAAAATGATATTAAGAAAGGAAGGCCTGAGAGTTAGCTATCCTTATCTGAAGAGTGTATTCACTAGCTAAAGAGATCCCACTTCTCTGCGTGTTTTTTTTCCTCAGTGTGAATTTATGAGGTCCCCAATGTTTTGATCTTTCCTGAACTGCTGCCACTACAAAAGAACCCAGTGTCAGATGCAAACAAAAATAAACAGTCAAATCCCTTAGCAGAGACCTGATATCTCCTTAGTTCTTTTTTTGATGTGGCCAAGATGAATGTAGGTTTGTGCAAGACAGTCTTTTGTAGGGCAAGCCTCTTTGGAGTGAAAAGATATAGCAGTGGAGAACAAGTATATCTCCTCTAAGTTGATTCTGAAGTTGGTAGTTTGGCTGTTGCCAGCCTTACTCTTTCCAGGAAAAGTGACTATGGTATTTGGACCTCTACCGTGAATGGCTTAGATGCAAAGACAGTCCGTGCCAAGGTAGTGGGTACCACAAAGGTAGTCAGAATCAAATGAAAGGTGCTGTGGCTATTTTCACAGAATCATTCTGTGACAAGGTTCCAGGTACCCAGGTTAGCATGCTCTACTTATTCAGAGGGTATTGTATGTGCTGACTTGGAAGATGGTGATACTTCTGTCTCAGTCTGTCATGCACCAGGGATGGTGACCTGAATGTGGGCTCATCTTTGAAACAGTGCTCCTTTCTGCCCCTACCAGACATTGATGCCGACGTAGTGGTCCAAACGAGGCCTCTGAATGTGGCTTGGGTGCTAGTAGTGGAATCATGGCTCAATGGGACCTTAACAGAGAGAGGCAGATCTGACATCTAAAGGCCTGGCTGTAGCTCTGCTCAGTATATGAGGATGCTTGCATTAATTGCCACAGCAAAAATATTTCCAGACACACCTCCCTCGCTCTGAGTGTATTTGGAGAATGAACGAGATAGAACATTGCTCAAGGACGTGTCCTCCTCCAAGACAGAGTGAGTACTGGGAGCGTCTGTTGTTAAAAGACAGCACAGAATCACATGAAAAACATGTCTTAAACCCCAGTGACATAGCTTCTACTATAATGCTAGCATCCCCTATACAAAGGGGTGGGTGAGATTTCTAGGCTAACTGAAACTTAATTATACCTTTATCTATTTGCCAGGAGAATAAAAAAGAAAAAAATTATATTAAAAATACTAGCAATGGTAACTATACTAAATAATATGCACAAGGCTAAGGAAAATGTCACTGATTAAATGGACACTGCATGGGGTTCCATTTCACTGCCACTGGCTGTAACAGGTAGGAACTGAGGAGCGTTTGGGCCCACTTCACCCCTTATGTCTTCAGGTGGGAGAGCATAAAGGTACGTAGTGTGCAGGAATGGCTCCAATAGACACTGCTTTTAAAAATAATCTTACTTCACACACCAGGAATAGAATCCATGCAGACAATCACTCAAAGAGCTACAAGTTTACCTCTTTTGATAAGTCATTTCTTTCTTTGGCTTGTGCTTTGTGCGACACTTCTAATATTTCATATTTTCTTCTGAGCTCTGACAATTCATGTTCAAATGCATCTCGTTCACTATTAAAACAAAACCAGAATATTATGAGATTCATTCAATGAAATGAAAATAAGTCCTCAAACCTCGTGTATCTCTTTAATTTAATTCATCCTCTGTGTTCATTTAACATTGGCGTCTCTTTCCCTTCATTCAATGTAGCCACTATTAGTGCAAGTCCTTCACTTCTTCATTTCCTGTTATCTGGAACTGCTTTCTTGTGCCATCTAACCTTATTACTATTCAACTTTCAACTATTTTCATATTTCTCATCTGAAAACTCATCTGAAAACATATCTACACTACATTTCTCTCCTCGCTCTGCTTTTGTATTTCTCAAATTTAACTTTGGGCCATATTATTGTCTCCTTTTAACCATGGACAACGATAAAGCGTCTATGCCTATTCTTTAAATCTGTCAGAAGACTTTGATACAACCCACCATGACATTTGGTTGACTCTTTTGCAGACAGCTGCAGTAGTGAATGAAAATGCTTGAGTGACTTCATCCCCCTCTTTCTGAGAGAGCCCAAAGGATTGTTGTGAACAATTGTTCCTCTGTCCAGAAGGTTCTCTCTTCTAAAGTGGTACATGGAGCTATATCATCCTCTTGTTCAACATACTGTATGTATGATATTGCTGGGAAAGTTAGTGAAGGGACATGGGTTATAATGCATTTAGCATGCCTATGATTCTCCAGGTCTACATTTCTATAATATCTGACCCAGTCAGGGCTGCGGAACAAGTTATTCAGTGCCAGCTTGGGGCTGGGATAAAAACTAGCCAACTGTAATGCAACCCAAACAAGACTGACATAAAGTTGGCAAATAGGGTAAGGAGCCAGAAGACTTTGTAAAACTGAGTTCAATGTGGACACGCAGTTAGATCATGTGCTACTCCTGGTTTCCTGGATAGCACCCATGCCCAGAGTGCTTTTTCACCATCTGCAACCTACTCTCCCAAATGGAAACTTTGCCACAATTATTTACACTTTTGCCACCTTGAGATTAGATTGCTATAATGCACTCCGCATAGGGCAACACTCTAAACTTTTCAGAGGCTGAAGCTAGTACAAAATTATGCGACTTGCTTATTAAATGGAGTTGTATATTAGAAGCACAGTAGATCAGTGATCCATGACATATATTGGTTTCCAATGAACTTTCAGGTAGAATTCAAACTGTTGGTTTTAATTTATAAGCCAAGAATGGTTCAAGACCTAGCTATCGGAGAGATCAACTCTCTCAATGACATATTGCCACACTTAAGATCAGCAGAGATGCCTGATCTTGCTCAATATAAACAAACAAGAGGGGGGCTGATGGCAAGTTGTTTTTTCTGTATGGAATCCTCAGTGTTGGAACTTAAACCCCCACTGATCTTCCAGATTTTTTAACCTTCTGGACACAGCAAAGCTCATCTGTGGGCTGGGTTGAAATATATATATTTTTGCGTTATTTTGCAATTGTAATTTACAGGATAGGCACTCACAGCATAAAATGAACGAACACCAGTAGTTACATTTTAGAAATAAGGGAAAAAATAGGTTCCTGAGGTAACTACAAGGATCCCGTCACAATGAATCTTTTAAATCTGTGCTCACACCGGAACCCACAGGGGAACTCTATTTCCAAATCTGTGGATCCCTAGGCCTGCCCCTTTGCATTGGTTTGCGGGCATCTCTCCCTCTAGCAGCATGAAGGGGAGCACAAAGCCCTTTATTACTTAACTCTGTGAGGCATTTTGGGACTGTATTTTATTAAACTAATAAAAATATTAATATTTGTTTAGCTGAAATGCAAATAAAACAAGCCCACTATGCTATGCAACACTAACAATATGGATTAAAGAAAACCAGGAAGGATTCTATCATGTCCTTCAATAAATAGGAAAGAATCATGGGCCAAAATTTTCTAACTTGGATACCTAAAGGTAGGCTCCTAGAAAACATCATATTTAGGTACCTGAATAGGCTGATTTTTACAGGAGGGCCAGGCAACCCCAGGTCCCAATGAAGATGACAAGAACTGCACATGCTGAATATCTTGGAAAAGTCAGAACAGTTGAATAAACAGACCATTTCTGTTTAAGTGGTCTAATTTTTCAAAACATTCAGCACCTGCAGCTCTTTTCTTCTTTGGGAATGGTTTGCTTAGCCCTCCTGAAAAATCAGGCCACTTCAACTTTAGGCACCTAGCTTCAGGAAACCAAGTTTGAAAATTTTGTTCAGTGTTTCTTGAGGAACCAGACATAGCCATAAGCTGAACAATTTACTTATCAAGTTGAGGAATAATTCATCCACAATATATTTGTGAGCAGGCATGAGCCAAAAAACAAAATGGAGTTCACATTAAGGGCTATCACCTTGATTAACAAAAATATTGACATAATTTTCTATGAATATCATTGAGCATATGTACTCTGGAGATGCACTGACCGTTTTACTTTATCATAGTTCTCCTGCCTGAAGTCACCTTGCTGAATCATCTGTTTGGTATCTGCTAGTTCTAGTGTCAAACGTTGACATCTAACTTCTAGCTCTGAACGACTTCTTCGCTCATCTTCATAGCTCTAAAAGTAAAAACATGTTTTAAAATAATCAAAGTTCCACTGATATTTACTTGACTTAATGATGTTGTAACTGTGAGAATAAAATCAAAAAAGACTTTTGTTGCATTAGCTGTAGTCTAGCTTTGTGTGTCCAAATGATGAGGCTTCCACCTCTTCTCTTGGCAGACTACTTCACAACCTAATAGATGTCTTACTATAAAGAAATACTGAGCTATATATATTTGGCCTACATTTTTCCTCTTCTTATTTTAATTAGTTGATTGTGACTTCTTTCTCACTCACATACTTCCCTGTTAGGTTTCATAGATTCATAGCGTTTAAAGTCAAAGGGATCTTTAGATCATCTAGTCTGATCTCCTGTGTATCACAGGCCATTAAATTTCACTCCAATAACTTGGTCTGCCTAAAGCATAACTTCCTGAATGGTATTTCTAAGAGCCTTTATTCCTCTTAATCCTTTTGTCAATATTCATTCTGCATTTTTCCTGATCTTGTTTTTTCTTAGCCCTTTAGAACACAATATATGGTAACACACTGGTAGTCAGCAAATCACTAAATTAATCTTAAACTTCTTGCCTGAAGCTCAATATGTAGATCCTAAATGTTTCCATTATTCAGATAGTGCATGTCAGCCCTAGCTTCATTAAGCCACCTACTCCATTATATTTTGGTTCATATGCTTTTGTGGAACTTGCTTCATTTATAAGAAAGCATGCATACAGAATACATGCTACAGATTATCTAACCTGACTCACAGACAGCTACCAAACCTAAGAACATTCAATATTTATAGCTAGCCATATCAGAGTTGCTCAGGGGGAAATCCTTTTTCTTGTGGCATTCCACTGTTTGATCTTTTGTCCTGTCAATATTTAACTTATTTGGCATTCAATCTCACCAGCCAGCTGCCTTACAATTTAAATACGGTGATGTGCGTACAGGCAGTAAAATACAACATTTCTGATTCAACATAGACAGGATGCTGCTTTCTAATTACTGGCATAAAAGGAAAAACAATAGATTTCAAATCCCTGGGATGGTCAGTCAATAGATAGAGAGATGCTGCCACCATGTGGTCAGGGGAAAACAAATCAAAGATGATAAAGCTTAAACTGATTACGTCTGTTTTTACATCACTGCAGTTATTGTAACATATCCCATTTTTAGAAGCATTCATTGACATTGGATTACCTTTCAGAATTTTAACTGTATTAAAAAAAAGGGATAATTTATTTCTAAGTAGCAGAATGGGTTAACATATTGGGGAAGAGCTTTCAAATTAGGATTCCAGCACAAAACAAAACATGTTTGGTTGTCACCACCTCTTATCCAACTAACGTTTGTCTCCATCATAAAACCATCACTCTTAATTCAGACCTGAGAAGGGGTAAAAATTCCAAATTCATGGGTGATGTATATTCAGGTCAGATTTAAGGTGGTCAGAAAGCAAGTGGTTGTGAAATCTGTACCAATCTGGCATTTACTGCACATAAAATGAGTATAAGGATGTAGGAAAGGAAAAACCAAGTAACAGGGAGATGCAACTTAAACTTTTAACTTTATCCTTCTTATCTCTTTATGGCAAAATTTAATTCACCGTTGAATTTGCCCCCATGAGTGGGAGTGTCTGTTCAAGCCAGGCCTTGAACTGAAACAGTACGATTCATACAGATCATGACTGAGATTAAATGTCTTAAATTAACTTCTATTTCCGTAACTGTTAAATTTCCTCCTAATTTAAACAAAGATTGAACTGCTGGTTTATAATGTGCCTAGTTAAACTAGAAGGAGAGAAAATATTTTACAGCCAGCAGAACCTTAAGAGACGTTTTTCATTTGCATAGGTATAGTATCTGAAGACAGGAGAAAGTTAAACTATGGAAGCAATACCAAATGATCATAAAAGGCATTATTTCATCTTTATTTTAAGTTAAAAATTCACTAAAGAAATAGAATTAAGTCAAAAAAGTGAGATAAGTGCCTTCAGCATTTCACAGGGTAAGGTCCTTAATTGGATATCATTATAAAAGTTTTAGTCTCTCCCTTATCTCAAGGGTGTTTTAAACGCTACTACATTTAAGTACCTACACCTATAATTATTTGAATGTAACTATATTAAGTACACAGTAATGGATGTTCTTTAGGAGAAAAGCAGGCAGTTGCATTTTTTTGAAGGGGAGGGAAGGTGAAGTAAGAGGGGATAGAGAAATGTTGTGCATGCACAATACATTATTATTTTCAAATCTCTTTAGAGTCATTTAAAATACAAATTTCTTCAAACAAGGTAGAAAAAACACTGGTTCACATCTATATCGCTGAAATTTTAAAATTAATAATTTACAGCACAAAAGCCATTTTTAATGTCCATTTATAAAATAAAATAAGACATTGTGATAACTCAAGAACAGACACTGCTTTAATTTTCCCAAAACACACATTTATAGGCTGAGCCAGCCATGAAAAGTTTCAGGGGGAAAAGGTAAAATGAGTCAGCCTAAGCAACTATTATCGAGGATTTGGAAAAGAAAATGTGCTGTCGCAACCTTAACTACAGCGATGCAATTATCTTAATTCCAGCTTTGTGCACAACAGGGTAAATCTTAGATGTATTCTTTAAAAAGAAATTTTATGATATTGAGCACAGCCAATGTTTCAATATACTTTGGAAAAAAAAAAGATATTTCTGCTTTTTTTGTGTCTCTTCCCCTTCTTTACAAGAAGGAAGACAACAGGATTTAAAGTAAATTTGAGTAACTTACTCCTTAATTGTAGTCACAGTCTTTTATTTGTGGCATCACAATTAATTGCTATGGGGTCCAGTTTGATATCATAAAGATTATTATTTCAGTCAAGGAACAAATAGCAAGAGCAGGTGAACATCAAAGCACCGCAATCCTGTTTTCAAATCTTTAGCAATAAATAAAAATAGGGAAAGAATAAAACCAAGAAATTTAAAAAATTAATAAAAAGAGGTAAATGTGACAGTCCAGCAGATGTGTTTCCAAACAGAATATTTGTCAAAGTTTTCCATTAGGTTTTGGTTGCTACTTAAAAATTTTTATTAAATATGCACCCGATTACAGTGATACAGATTTTCATTATTAGTACAAATATTAAGCAAATTAATATTGTGAGAAAACAATTGCTTTGCAAGTATTAAAAAAAAATGAATGCCCCGCTATTAAACCTCTAGTCTCCTACCTGATCTGAAAAGTAACTGGAACGGAAATGTACCCATTTGACAGAACAGGGTTATTTTATTACTTATTTTCATAGCTGGGTTACTAAAGCATACAAACCTCCATCACACACTTCAACTGGGACTTGTAATAACTTAAATCTTCTGATAAGCTGTCTTTTTTCATCTGTAGTTCATTTACTTCTTTTCTTAATGGTTGGACTACTTCATAGAATCGAATCTAGAAAAGAAAGCAAACAACACTGTCACTCCTCAAAAATACAGATATTAAAAAAAATGCAGATAAATTCTAGTAAGAGAACAATTAAAACATTTTATGCCACTAACTTAAAAATCTCATATTTGTTTTTCAAAAAAGTTAATATTTTCAATTAACACATACACTACTTACTACATATCTTTTTACATGTACTACTCTATTACACTGGGCTAATCTACAGTAACGCTGTAAGTCAATCTAAGTTACGCTATTTCAGTTACATAAGTTATGTAACTGAAGTCTGTGTAACTTAGCACGGTGTAGACACCACTGTAAGTCAACCTATGTCAACGTGAGACACTCTCCTGTCGACATAGCTTTCGCCTCTCGGGGAGGTGGAGTACAGACTTTAACGGGAGAGTACTCTCCCATCGACTTAGCGTATGTTCACAGACCCACTAAATCAACACCGCTGCATTGATCGCAGCAGTGCCGATTTAGCCGGTAGTGTAGACACGGACACTGTTTGTACTCAATAGTCCTTCAGACTCAATTTTTTGTTCCTTGTTTTTATTCTTTCCACACTAAGCATTCATACTAATTAGATGCAACAGATTAGAGTACCACTATAGTAGCTTCTCTTACTCCATTTTATGTTCATTCAACCATTAAACACGCAACTAACATAAAGCAGTTGATGTCGCTCATGATTCTCACATATTTCCTTCATACTTCTAAAAATTATCTCACCAAGTTTAAAATCAACATTACCCCTTCTCCCCCCACCACTTCTGAACAGAAACGTTTTTATTCATCATGCCAGGTGAAGTCAATGAGGAGCAAAATCATAATCCCTGTCAGTCACACATAATCACCAACACTGCTAAAAGCACTACTTTGTAGATGCACAGATGGTACATGAATTATCCTCCATTTCCTTCTGCTGCAAGTGAGAGAGAGAGAAAGAAAGAGGACGACGACCAATCACTGTGGTGTTTATTGAAAGGAGCTCCAAAGTAAAATATTGACTCCCAAAATGTTGATGCTTATCTATTTAAATTTGAGAAAAGAAAGAAAAAGGGAAATTCAGCTTCAAAAGAAATAAGAATTCTAATGGTCTCTACTTTAGAATGAGCATTGTCAAGCATTTATGAGTAATTCTTCCAATCATCACAATGAGATCCATTTTTTTCCAGCTTCTCATTTATAACAGATACAAGATTAATTACACCGTGTAGTTTGTATTCTGACAAACACCTGCTTCTATGGTGAATGGCCTTACCAGTGATCCCATTATAAAATTTATTTTCAAAGCTTTCTTATAGCAGGCTTTAAAAGCCCTTACTGAAAGGGCTTTAGCCAAAGTCAAATAGGCCTTTTTAAAAGATATAGAAACATGAAAAGTTGAAATCATACAAAATATATTTTAAAAAATGCACAAATCTGTGCATTATATATATATAAATCTGTTTTTCTATATCAATACTGCTGGGATCATAAGTATGTGGTTTGGAAAAGCTACGAATTAAATATAGAGAATGGTGGAATGCACTATTTGCTTATGCAATGGCACACCATACATGTACAAGCACACACACAGGTTGGCACCACAGTTATTTAACTATCCACCTTCAGTCAAACTTTATTCCTCCCTTTCATTTATAATGCTTTAAAACAGATCATTTCATCTATCACCTTTGAAGTCCTGAAGTTCTTTTTATATTATACATACTATATATGATCTGTGAATAGTTTTTTTTTTTAAATAAGTCCAACTTTAGAATTATATTTAATTATCAACAAAGAAGTGGGGATTAAGACATGCCTGTATTTTTTTTTTTAAGTCCTCCATGTGATGGTACACATAGTGTCATTAGAGCCATTCTAGAGACCTGCTGCAGACTAGAACTGGCCTCCTTGGGTCAAGTAAGTCACATTTATTTTATTCCTTTTACCTCGTGAAGGTAAACAAGGCTAAATTCAAAAAGGAACTCAGGCACTTACCTGCCATTTTGGCACCTAAATCTGAGACTTAGGCTTTGTCTACACTGGCAAGTGAACGACAAAATTTTGTCATTCAGAGATGTTAAAAAAATACCCCCTCAGAAAGACAAAAGTTTTGTTGAGGAAAAGCGCAGGTGTGAACAGCGCTTGGTCGGCAGGAGCACTCTCCTGCCAACAAAGCTACCGCCATTCATTGGGGGTGGAAGTTTTTTGTCAGCAGGAGAGCTCTCTCCTGGACAATCAGCAGCTATACTGCGCACCTTTTAGCGGCACGGCTGTAGCTGTACAGCCATGTCGCTAAAAGCTGCGTAGTGTAGTCAAAGCCTTAGGCAGCTACTGATATTCACAAAATTCCTGCTCAAATGCCTCCTAACCGCACAGGTGCCTAAACTTGTTTGGTGCCTAAATTTCCCTAGGTACCAATGTTTCTGCCTCTAGGCATGCACACTCCAGCCTCGCTTTAGGTGGCTGGCTGCCTAAGCCCCAGAGCAAGTCACAAACTGGGGGAAGATAAGCTGAAGAATGCCTACCTTGCATGCAGAACTCAATCCAGTATGCATGCTCAAAGGCAGTCTCGCTCCATGTGCAAGAAGAGGAGGAGGAGGCACTCCCTCATAACTTTTAGCCTAGTGATTAGGGTACTCACCCAGGATGTGGGAGTCTACTGGTTCAGGCTAGCCCCATGCTGATGAGGAAAATGGATTTGAACAGGAGTCTGCCACTGCTCAGGTGAATGCCCTAACCACTGGGTTATGGGATATTCTCATGTGAGGCTCCCTCAATCGCTTCTCTTGAAACTGTTCCGCTGTATATAAAACTACTTAATCACTGAGGCTGAGAGTGTGAGAATGACTCTAGCCTGGCAGGAAGGGCACTCACCCAGGAGGTGGGAAACTCAGGATTAGTCCCTCTGCTCCATTGTCTATTTATTTATTTATCCAAAATGGAACAGCTCAACAGGAGAGACTGAGGGAGTCCTACATCAGAATATTCCATAGCCCAGTCATTAGGGCACTGATGTGAGAGGAGGCAGAACACTGTTCACATTCCTTCTCCACATCAGGCAGAGGGGGCTTGAACCAGCTGTCTCACACACCCTGTGTGACTACACTAACCACTGGGCTGAAAGTCTACGTTTCTCGTTGTCCCTGGCACAGAAATTTAGATGCATTTTATACTTTTCAAAATTTATTTTGCAGGGTAAGGGCAGGGGAAAGCCAACACAAAACTTCGAATGTCCAGGCTAGTCTCTGTGTTGGAAAAACTACAAGATTCTCTTAAACTTCAGTTCGTCTCTGAAAACACTAATACGATAAACATTTATTGTGTTTCAGTTCCTTTTACATTAAATTTGCTCATTTTACAAATAAAAAGATGGTTTCGCTAGCTGTAGTCCTAGAAATTCAAGCTGTCAAGAGCTGTGGGATATCAGTTAAGACTGCATTTTTCCCTGTTCATCTAATAAAAATTCTACATGAAAAGTTCTTTCCTTAGTTTATTCAAGTTCTGTGCAAACCCATTGAAGACAATGGGATTTCACGGGTGTAAGTGAGGAAATAATTCTGTTGACTGCGCATAAGGAACAGAAGTATGTAGAGATGACAAGAATAGCAAAATTTATATTTTAGTCACTAAAGCACATAATACTCAGTACACACAAATTTTTGAGACACCGATGTAATTTATACATAGACACTTTGCAGAAGAAAAATGTAATTTAAGGTTTATGGGTTTTTTTCCTCCTGGTTGATATTAGGTGTCTGGAAATACAGATTTGCTGGTACTTCTGTCCTGTCTGTACTTGATCCACAACAGGTGTCTGTTACCTTTATAAAACTTTAGAAACTTCCATGCAATATCATGAATAAATGGGACTTACCTTACCTGTAGAACCTGTAGTAAGGAGAGCACATAATTCTAAAGTTCCTTAATTCTTTTAGAACTATTTGCAAATTACATTTAAAATGTTAGTTACATGCTCTGTGCCACAGCAAAATATCACTTAGCACCACCTTGTGGAAAAAATGGGAACAGTAACCAAAACAAAACACTCAATTTACTAGCTAAAGCAGTAGTTTTCAGACTATTTGTATTGGTGACCCCTTTCACACAGCAAGCCTTTAAGCATGACCCTCCTCATACATTAAAAACAGGGGGAGTGGGGGGGAAATTTAATGGAAGCTGACAGCCCCACGGAGCGGATAGCTCATGACCCCCATGTAACCACCTTGCAACCCTGAGGGGTAACGACCATCAGTTTGAGAACCCCTGAGCTAATGTCTGCTATCTATATTAACCTATAAAATACTAGAAATTAAACTTGTGATATCCTTTAGTTCAAAATCTAGATAGAATAAACTTGTTTAAAGGATACTTTCTGCTGTAAGCCTGGTATAGAAAATTTACAGACTAAGGACTATATAATATAAGAACGGCCATACTGGGTCAGACCAATGGTCCATTTAGCCCAGTATCCTGCCTTATGACCATGGCCAACGCCAGGTGCTTCAGAGGGAATGAACAGAATGGGCAATCATCAAAGATCCATCCCATGTCATCCATTCCGAGCTTCTGGCAAACAAAGGCTAGGGACACTCAGAACATGGTGTTCCATCCCTGCCCATCTTGCCTAACAGCCATTGATGGACCTATCCTCCAGGAACTTATCTAGTTCTTTTTTGAATCCTGTTATAGTTTTGGCCTTCACAACATCCCCTGGCAAAGAGTTCCACAGTTCTTATTTTCTTATGGATCCAAGGAAAGATCCTTCATCTCTGCACTGTTTAGATTCTAACAGGGCAGAATAACTGAACGAGAACATGGATTGTTGTTCCAGGAAGTCTGTGTGTTTCAAACTCATATGCTCACTCTGTTCCTTCCTCTGCCACTTAACTTCCCTGCTGCCTACTATGCAAGTAAAACAAATCTCATCCACTTCTTGGTCTCATCATTTCAACCTATTAGGCATTAAAGACTGGGTTTTAAAAGGCTTCTTCTTTCTGTTTGAATGCCACTTTTAATGACTGAATTATATTAGGAAGAGGCCCAGCAATAGGAGTCTCATTTCTAGTGCAGGCGGCCTGTGGGTGGTGATAAAAGAACCTGAGTTCTAAAGGCTTCTCCCTGCTTTCTTCACAGGTACACTGTGAGTCAGAAAGAGTGCATTAAGGTACTCATTATGACCTTTACAAACAGGTTACTAAACCATGATCATTTGTATTTTGAATAGCAATACAGAATAGCAATACAGAACACAAAGTACTCACAGAAACATATTCAGGGATAGAAAGCTCATCTTCAGGGAGAGATTTCAGTTTTTCATAATAATCTTCTGTCAATTCCAAATCACGCAAGCTGCGACGGATATCTCCGGCTCGCTCCCTTAACTGATGATTTGTTTCTTCTAGTTGTTTTTGCCTCATTAAAATGGTTTCCATTTCCTGTTTCATTAGCTCTTGATGTTTTCTATGTAAATGTATCAGAAAATTATGATAAACATGTCTAAAGTATCAATAAATCCTCACAATACTTGAGCTAGGCAAATAATTATTATCCTAATTTTCAGATGAGAACAAGAGTTCACAATTAATATAATCCTACCAAAAAAACCCCCAAAAAAACACTTTGCTAACTAGAATTTGTCTACATTACCTCGCTTTCAGCGACATGGCTGTGCCACCACAGCCGTTCTGCTAAAAGGCACGCCGTGTAGCTGCCGTTTGTCAGCAGGAGAAATCTCTCCTAATGATAAAAAGACTTCCACTCCCCATGAGCAGCAGCAGCAGCTCTGTCGGCAGGAAAAAGCGCTGTTCACATTGGCACTTTTCATCAGTAAAACTTTTGTCATTTGGGAAGGAGGGTGTTAAATACCCCTGAACGACAAAAGTTTTGCCAACGAAGTTCCAGTACAGACAAAGCCTAAGACAACTCTAGTTAAAGCAACATTAACACCCAAACAACTTCAATTCACACCTTATCATCCAAATATAATCACACTCACAGAGACAACCTCCACAACAGACTGCGTCTCACTTCCAACATACAGCCATCATAATGCACTCATCAAGGTTCTTAGAAATCACACTCAAACAAGGAACTTTAACTCCAATCTCCACAAATGTTAATATGCTACTAATAGACTTTTTAAAATGTTACTACCTAAAGTTAGGTAGGTTGATCATGAGTGATGAAGGCATATACAGCATTGTAAACTGGTTGAATCTCTTAACTGCTCACTTCCAAACATCTGAACATTGAAAGAGTTTGTTTGTTTATGTTTTTGTAGATCCACAATTGTTGTAAAGAAAGCCTACTTCTTTTGTATACTGGTTGAACTCCACTGAAAAACACTTTCAATCTAAACTGTTCTTTCAGGAAGGGTTTTATTTGGGGGTGGGAGGAAAGAGGGGGAACTACCCTGTTTTGTTTTTTAAACAAGCACCCAAAAAGTTTTAATTGGGTTGGTGTACAAGGTTTCAGGATAAATCTTGATCCAATATATTTTTTGAGGTTCACCAAAGCAGGCCTAGTCCACAAAAGGGATATGTTCTGAAGAAAGATAAGCATAAGTTATTGATGGGCAGAATATAAAGGTAGTAGACAGAGGAGGGTAGAAGAAAGTCACTCAGCTGTTTTAGGTCTCTGGCCCTAATAATTTGTACAGTACATAGCACTTTTTCATCTGTACAGATACCAGAGCACTTGACAAAAGTTAGATAAGCATAAGATGGCACAACTAAGCACACAATTGGAAGACATTTTTCCAAGAGCCACTGTGCTCTTAAGTCTGAGACCAGTTCTGCCACAAATTAGTCCTGCGGATTCTGCACTACTGCACACGTGCATAATTAATGAGCTCTGCAGATTTCAAATTTTTTGCACCAACAAAAGCTTCTGCCAAAATGTTGCTGCAGTTCCACTTTTAACCCACCAGAGGGCCTGTGGTGATAGAACACAGTGGCAGCTCACAGCCAGATAAGGAAGAGAAAGCCTGCCTTCTTCACAGAGCCTGTGGCCAGGTCAGGAAATGGGTTATGGGGGCGCGGGGGTGTCAGACAGGGGCACATAAGGGCTAGTGGGGGAGGGCAGACTGGAGCATGGGCAGAATGGGAGCGGAGGCACAAGGCCACAGGGGGGAGGGAGGTGCAGACACACATGGGGACTGGGGGAGGGGGTGCAGGGCTACATAGGGCTGGGTGAGGGCACAGAGACACATGGGGACACGGGCAGATGTGCCTGACTGAATGGGAGAGGCTAGGGATCAGCCAGGGTATGCATGGGAAAAGCTTCCTAACAATCCCTCCCCACCCCCACAAAAAACCTGTTCCATACTTCTCTCACCCATACCCAACAACCCTCCAAGTTCACACCCAGGTTCCTTCCCAGCAATCTACTTCCCTCTCCCTCGGCTCCTCTGTTACCCTTGACTTCCCCAAGCCTTTTCACTGTTTCTGAGGGGTGAGAAAATATGATTCTGTATTCTAGTTTAAATGAATTATTACTCAAGAGTTCTCTATTAATATGCCTAGTAAGGAATCTATTTGTCAAAAAACATTTCCTGAATCGTTTTTGTTTTCTGTTTTGTTACATACATACTTGCTGACAGATATTTTGAAGTAAATGACCAAAAACAATTGAGACTGGTGTGATTATATTGTGTTATTTTGACAAATAAAATATGCAGAATTTTAAAATATTGTGCGCACATTTTTTAATTTTTTTTGGCACAGAATTCCACCAGGAGTATCAAATCTTCTACAGAAAGAGACTTGCAGAAACTCACAACTTCTCTGTGCTTGAGTTTATGTATCTCCTGCTGTGTTGCGAGACTTCACTAAATAAGATACCACACTTCACAATCCTTCTTAAGACCAGTCAGTAGAAGTGAGAACAGAACTCCTTAATGAGGTATTTTGTCAACAGCACATTACCAAATCTAGCTTTAGGTTCTAGACAATTGTAATGTTTCAGAAGACTCAAGTCAAAATCAATATTTACCCAAACACTAGAAGCACTTCTGCTCAATTAAGGCTCTTTCAGGGCCAAATGAGAGTTTTCTAAACTGTCATTCCCTCCCATCTCCCCAAGCCATTCAGGACATAGACTTATTAAAAAAGAGTTGTAAATGTATTATTTTTTAAGTGGGGAAAGTATTACTCCTAATCGAGCCCTTTATTCACAAAACAGCAGAGATTCTTACTTATATTAAAGTTTCAAGTACAATTTAGGTTCAGTCAGGGCTAGTAGTGAAAGTTTCAGCAAGTTACAGTTAGCAGTTTTAAGCGAAGGTTTAGAATGGAAAGTTTATACAACCTATAATAAAGCTGCTCTTCCAGTAACCTACATCCCGTCATGTTTTATTTCCTACCACTGCATTTAGATCAATAGTACATATTAATGCTGAAGTTGATTTGTTTATTCTCGTACCTGGCATCTTCTTGCTGTAATGCCAGCTGGTTGTCTAGTCGTAAAGATAACAGCTGCTTCTGGTGGATTGTATCATTAAGCTTCTCTTCTAGCTCTTCAATCTAAAAGCAATTAAAGATAAAAGAGAAAAATGACTTACCTTGCTAACTTCTCCTGAAACATTTTCTGACAAAAGCAATACCCTATACTACCTTCCACTAAAAAAGTTAAGAAAAATAGCAGAGGTCTGAATTAGTCAGGAGACTGCTATTTTGATTGTTTTAAGAAAACCCAAAAATGTTCTAGACACCTGCCAAAAGAAATAAAGAAATTATACCTGTCCCAAAGTACCTACAAAGTAAAGCTCCAATTCTATAACTGGATTCACAAAGGCCGAGGCATCCGCTTGCTCAGATTCGATTGCAGGATTTGGCCTAAATTCAACTTACAGACAAGTGCAAGTTATAAACAGATATCAACAGAAGAGACTGAGCCCTGGTTTACGCTTATGTCGGTATAACTACAGTTGCTCAGGGATGTGTAAAATCCACACCCTTGAGTGATGCAGCTATACTGACGAAACTCTCTTCATAGACAGGGCTTCTCTCATCGACACACCTACTGTCTCACGGAAAGGTGGAGAAGCTCTCCCATCAGCATAGGTAGCATCTTCATTAAATGCTACAGTGGCACACTTGTACAAGTGCAGCTGCACCGCTGTAAGTGTAGACAAGGTCTAGGATAAAGGTAACAATAATAAAACTATACACTACTGTAGTAAGACATTATTGCACTTCCCCCTACCTAAGCTTCCCTCCCCATACTTCTTGTAAATGAGATGGGACAAGATATAGAATCTCTCGCTTCGAAGTCAGTCCACATTTCCACAGACAAGCTTTCCCATTTGACCACCACTCAAAAGTCTACAATTCAGTGTTTCTCAACCTTTTCAGGCTGGTGATCCCTTAACTCCCTTACATTTTTTAGTCTTCTGTAGTAAATGCATGTGATAGCCCTCTGTAGTGTGTGTCTGTGTGTTTTGAGAGGCTGACAAAGAATTCTTGACTTTGAATGGTAAGAGTGCCTGGGCACTAGTATTTTCTTTGGTTTAGACTTGTAATAAGCACAAGACTAAAGTAAAAAGAAAAGGAGTACTTGTGGCACCTTAGAGACTAACAAATGTATTTGAGCATAAGCTTTCGTGAGCTACAGCTCACTTCATCAGATGCATCCGATGAAGTGAGCTGCATCTCACGAAAGCTTATGCTCAAATACATTTGTTAGTCTCTAAGGTGCCACAAGTACTCCTTTTCTTTTTGCGGATATAGACTAACATGGCTGCTACTCTGAAAAAAGACTAAAAGTATTGTCACAAGAATTCCTAAGTTCTAACCCCAGCTCTGTTTGTTCTAAAGATATATCCTCGGGAAGTCAAATAATTCCTTCATGTCTCAATTTTCCCATCTTTTACCTTCTATAAAAAACAGGGAAGATATTTTGGTACCTACCCTACAGGAATATTATGGAAAATTGAAGTCTGTACAGTACTCTTGTCATAAATATAAAGGGAAGGGTAAACACCTTTAAATCCCTCTTGGCCAGAGGAAAAACCCTTTCACCTGTAAAGGGTTAAGAAGCTAAGATAACCTCGCTGGTACCTGACCAAAATGACCAATGAGGAGACAAGATGCTTTCAAAGCTGGAGGGGGGGGACAAAGGGTTCTCTCTGTCTGTGTGTTGCTTTTGCCCAGACCAGAGCAGGAATGCAGGTCAGAACTCCTGTAAAGAGTTAATAAGCAATCTAGTTAGATATACATTAGATTCGGTTTTGTTTAAATGGCTGATAAAATAAGTTGTGCTGAACGGAATGTATATTCCTGCTTTTGTGTCTTTTTGTAACTTAAGGTTTTGCCTAGAGGGATTCTCTATGTTTTGAATCTGATCACCCTGTAAGGTATTTACCATCCTGATTTTACAGAGGTGATTCTTTTACTTTTTCTTTCATTAAAATTCTCTTTTAAGAACCTGATTGCTTTTTCATTGTTCTAAGATCCAAGGGTTTGGGTCTGTGTTCACCTATGCAAATTGGTGAGGATTTTTAGCAAGCCTTCCCAAGGAAAGGGGGTGTAGGGCTTGGGGGGGGATTTGGGGGGAAAGAGGTTTCCAAGTAGGCTCTTTCCCTGTTATTTTTGTTAGACACTTGGTGGTGGCAGTAGTAAGATCCAGGGACAAAAGGTAAAATAGTTTGTACCCTGGGGAAGTTTTAACCTAAGATGGTAAAAATAAGCTTAGGGGGTTTTTCATGCAGGTCCCCACATCTGTACCCTAGAATTCAGAGTGGGGAAGGAACCTTGACAACTCTGAAAGTGCTAAGAAGTATTAAGTCAAGAATGAAAGTGAACTCGTAAGCCTAGAAATTTCCACAGGGCTGAAGCAGGGCTGAAGCACATTGCATAAGAAAGCTCACATTTTCACCTCTGTACCTTTCACCTGATTTCAGTTAGAGCAACTGAAGTTGACTTGTATATTGAAGTTATTCAAGAACCGTGAATGAGGTAGTATATAAAGTACTTTTCTAGACTTAAGCAGTTGTTGTGGAATAGGGCACACATATACACAATCACATACTTCCTTACTTTGGTCAGATATTCCACTTTCAAGTTGTCAATCATTAAGTTTTTCTGAGATAACTCTATTTTCAGCAATTGTAGATTATGAAGCAATTCCTTCCGCTCAATCAGTTGCCTAGTGATTTTGGTGGTACCTTCTCTCTCTTCAGAAGAGGAAATGTCATCTGTTGGTACTGTAGTCTCTAAACTAATATCTTCAGACTCCAGGGAGCTGGAGATATTTGCTTTCTTGGTTTCCTTGGAGCCCTTCCGTGACATTTTTCTTTCTATTTGAAGAGGTTTTTATGGTTATGATTTGATCTGAGCACCCTGTAGAGTGAAATGCAGAAGTCAGAACAATTAAGAGAAAAGGTATTAAAAGATTATGAAAAACTATTAACCAACACTTTAGATTTCCTGCTCAATGTTTGGTCTATCCTTTCACCTGTAAGAGATGTTTGTAGGATGCTGTAAAATAAAATCTTTCCCCAGAACTCTGTTTCTGGGGCTTTCTACCTTCCACAACAGCAATGGCCTTCTCTCCAGAAGGACATTCTAGGCTCATCATTACCAATGGGTGGTGTCACCAGTGCTAGAATGAGCTACATATGGATTGTCAGTGGGATTTCACCTTGTTCAGTCTCAGCACAGTGCCTGACCCCCTCATTAATCACATGCTTTGCACTGCCTATGCAGCATTGCAAAAGGACACCATGGGTTTTTGGTTCAGTCTCTCCCACATTTCTCTCATTCAATCTCCCTCTTTCCCAGAGGCATGGAACATAATATATGGCAGAGATCCAAATGAGGGACATACTTATTATTCATGCAGCAAACTTAAATGACATGGGAAAGATTCCTTAAGCTTCCATACATAACTTTCTAATCCATATCAGTTCTTATACCATCCTCTCTAACATACTATCTGAATGCCTCCCAGTCGTGCCTGAAGCAAACTGACCACACATCTATCAAATGTGTTTTGTTCTCTCTCTCAGCCTCTCCCCAGAAGATAACTGTGCATCCCATACAATGTTTTGGGTTTTGTTTGTTTGTTTTTGGGGGGGGGGGGTCATAACACTTGACCCTGTGTTTATGTTAGGAAAGGAAAGTCAAAGAATGGTGCCTTGCACCTGCAGTGGGGATGCTCCAGTCGGACCCTTACTTTAGTCTTCCTTGCATCCACAAAGCCGAGCTCGCTCTCCACCACAGCCCGTGCCCTGCCCCTTCATCCCTAATAAACAGCCTGTTTAAACACAGAAGTGGGGAGTACCAAGCCACCATCCCTCAGACTGAGGGCGGTGGAGAGGCCTGACCACGGGGGCAGGGTCACAGCAGGAGGGCTGGAAGTCGCCCTAGGGCAGGAGTGGCTCCTGGTCCCAATGAACACCAGTGGAGCCCGGCCTGCGCCATCCCGGACCCCACTCGGGCTTCCCTCCTGAATGACCCCGGGCACATCGCCTACCGGCCCCGAGCCGCCCAAAGGCCTGCGCGCAGCGAGGGGCTGGCGTGTTTGAACGTGTTATTACATATCTGCGTATAGCCCCGCACGAACCATTACCGGGGCGAGCGGCAAAACGAGGCTGCCCCGTGAGAGCCGCCGGGGCGGATCCCCGCGGCGCAGGCCGGTACGTTTCGGGAGGCGACCCTCACTGCAGCCCTGCCCCGTGCACTGCCCGGCTAGGCGGGAGAGGCCCCTGCAGCCGGACTCACCTCCGGCAACTACCGACCAACAGCTCAGGCTTCACCCCGGAAAGGGCGGGGCTGTTAGCTGCCGTCACCAAGACAACAGCACTCGCGCTAAAACCAAAGAACGAAGGGAGCAGCGCCAACCGACCCGCTCTAGTCGCAATGCATGCTGGGACCCGCAATCCCCTTCCATCCCAACGGCCCAAACAGCACAACGCGCATCCGAAGTGTTTCCGGCGCGGGCCGCAGTGCATGCTGGGAGCTGTAGTCTCCGGTTCCGCCTGCCGTTCCGGTTCCGGCAGGGTCGAGTTGCTTGCCGGGAGCCTCTCGCCTGGTGCTGGTTCTTCCCTGGGGTACTGGCCGGCGCTACTGCGGGCAGGATGTTGACCTCGCGCACGTTCCTGAAGCGGACGCGGGCGGGTGCGGTGATGAAAGTGGTGCGCGAGCACTACCTGCGCGAGGACATCGCGTGCGGGGCGGCCGCCTGTGAGCAGTGCGGGCAGCAGCCCGGGGAGCCCCGCCTCGAGGCCCAGCCCAGCGGTGCCGCCAGCAGCCTCTGCCCCGCCCCGCACTACTTGCTGCCGGACACCAACGTCCTGCTGCACCAGGTACCAACCCCCGCCCACTCCCGAGGGTGAGGGAGCTGTGCGCGTGGGGCTTGGGACTCACGCAGGGGTCAGCATCGTTCTGTGCGGCGTAGCCGTAGCCGTGTGGGTCCCGGGATATTGGAGACAGGATCCCTCACCCGTCTTCTCTCAGGATTCGCTGGTCAGGCCTCCAGCAATCCGAGATCCGGTCAAACGTCAGGAGGCTTAAACCTCATAAATGCGGTTTTCTCTTTGTCGGCCTGGCAGTGTCTGCTTTGCCGTGCTTTCTGGCCGCGGTTTCAAGCATTTCCCCACAGCCCCGGGGATATAAACCTCCTCTTTCCGAAATCTGAGCCCAGCTTCCCTTGTAATCGCTTGTCTCCAGGAGCTGGGACTTAAAGAAAAACACCAAATGTTGTGAGACATGCGATCAAATCAAGAGAGTGGCAGCACCAGCGCCATCGCTTTTGGGATTCCCTGTCCTTCGGGCCAATGCTGAATTTGGCTTCCTTGATGATACTGTTGGGGGGTCAGGGCTGCCACTGCTGGGAGCTGAAGTGAATCTCCTCTCTCCACCTAATCAAATTCATGGCTGACAGCTTTTGAAAATCCCACCCAAGGTCTCCAGGCAGGGTATGGGGACAGCTCCTTAGGGGCTAGAATTTCCACCGTCTGCTCCCCAGCCGCCAGGGTGAGGCAGGTCTGGGCATCTCATCATTCATTTTATCTTCTGGCAATCATGTGTCAGGATCAGGTAAACACTTCCACTGAATGCATCTGATGAAGTGAGCTATAGCTCACGAAAGCTTATGCTCAAATAAATTGGTTAGTCTCTAAGGTGCCACAAGTACTCCTTTTCTTTTTGCGAATACAGACTAACACAGCTCCTACTCTGAAACTTGAATCTCTGTTATGAGTTATAAATAAACAATAACTTGGATTCTTTTTTGTTTCACAGATTGATATACTTGAAGATCCTGTTATTACAAATGTAATTGTGCTTCAGACAGTTTTACAAGAAGTGAGGAAACGGAGTGCACCAGTGTACAAGCGAATTAGAGATGTGATTGCCAATCCTGAAAAACATTTCTATTCCTTCACTAATGAACATCATCGGTAAGGTATAGCTTAGGGTACAGCAAACTTCAGAATGTACCACATAGGTAACCGGGAGACAACTGACATTTTTGCTGTAATGATGATGACACTATGACAACTGTAGTAGTAAAATTCAAGTGCTTTGAAGTTTCATCAACAGACATGAAATGATGCACTTTTAGGGTGGCTAGTTGTGAGACAATTGCAGGTACTTGAAAAGGAATATGCCTGAAAGTCAAATGCCTTCAGACACTTCAAAATACATTTACCTCAAAATATCCACATGCACTGGAAAATGATTTTGCATTCAGAAAAAATAACTTTTTAATTTAGGAACTAATGAAGCTAACGGTTTGCATGCATTTGTTGTCAATAATTACATGAATTGGTCTCTTGGCAATTGGATTGGTCCCTTAGTCTGGTTTACTGTGTGAAAAGCTTCATGCATGATTCTCCTGTGTTATAGTTGCTTTTGTTTGACTGGAGATAGGGTGTAGCTACCTGCCCCAAACCCCTTTCACCTGCTGCTCTGACTCACTTCTGCACCTATCCCAAACCTAAATTTTTCAGTACTGTTGCAAAAGACACATGATTTAAAATGTATTAGCAACTTGAACCAGAATTTAATTTCTTCGCTATTTTTTCTTAATCACAAGCATGTATTGGTTTGTTGGTGTGGAAATTGCTGCTGGAACAGATCTCTGGTCTGTCTAGTAGTATCCTATCTCCAGCAGTGGCTTTTAGTAGATTTTCAAAGGAAGGCAAACCTTCACTCTACCACACAGACTAATGCATCTGGACAATTGTGCATTGTTAAATCATTGGAGAACTTGTGAAGGCCTACTTTGGTGGTTTGCTAATGCCAGGAAGTATGCAAGATTTGTAACTCTTGTGTTATTGTTGATGTGTTCTGTTAAATAGTTACCACATTTCACTCTTGTGGTGATCACTTTGCACATTAGTGAAATGCAAACTGCACAAGTGAACATCATATCAGTCTGGATAAAAGACAGTATATTAACTTAAATTGTCATTAGCCTCAGTCATCTAGGGTTTGATCCAAAACTCATTGAAATCAGTAGAAAGACACTCTCTTTGACTTCAGTAGGCTTTGGATCAGGCCCCTAACTTTTCTGAAGGCTTGTCTACACTACAAAATTAAGTTGACTTAAGTCCACTTACAGCCACCGCAGTAATTGAAGTGGTGATTCATGTCCACTCTTGCTCCTCATGTCTGTAGTGCGCGTCCTCACCAGAAGTGGGGCATTGTGGGACACTGACACTGGAGCCCAGCAGCCCTGGGCTGACAGCCTCAGCTGTAATCATGGGGCTCACAGCCCCCCGCAACTGTCAGCTGGGCACTGGGCTCATAGCTGCAGCCCCCCAGCCCCTGTGCTGACAGCTGGAGCTGTCAGCCAGGCACAGGGCTCACAACTGTGATCCTACCCCACAGCCCAGGGACTGACAGAGCTGTGAACCCACACAGGGCTCAGTTTCACAGCAGGGAACTATTAGCAATGAAATTGACATTCTTGTCAGGTTCACGGCTGCTATTATTTCACTTTTCAGCTTTGGCTGTCAGCCGGTGGGGGCTCTATGAGCCCCCATACCAGGTCTGACAGCCCAAGCTGTCAGCGCCATGTGGGGCTCATTGCTGGAATCCCCGGGCTACAGGGCTGACAACCGGAGCCAAAATGTGAAATAGTAGCAGCTGTGAACCTGACAAGAATGTTTGTTTCATTGCTGGTAGGTTCCCAGCTGTGAAACTGAGCCTTTCAGGCTCACAGCTGGGGCTGTTGCTGCGGGGGGGAGTCCAGCTGCCAGGGCTGACAGCCAGAAGCACAGCTGCCACCTTCCAGTGAGGGATTGGGGTGTGGGGGAGAAGAGCCCAAGCCCGAGCAGTGGCTTAGGTTCTGCTCTCCTTCCCTCTCCACCCCCAGATCCCTCACCAGGAGGCAGTAGTGGGGCTCTGGGTTTCAGTGCTGGGGGGATGACTCTGCTGTCAGCCCGGCTTGGGGTTGACAGCCAACAGCTGATGTAAATAATGCAGCATCTACACAGAGGCTGTGTTGCCCTAACTACGTTGATATATGCACTGCGCCTCTCATGAAGGTGGAGTTATTATGTTGAAGGGAACATTGACTTCATTGGAAGCAGCATTCTAACGTAGACACTGACATAGTTAGGTCAACATAAACTGTCTTATGTCAACCTAACTCTGTAGAGTAGACCAAGCCTGAATCTTACTAAGTAACTTGACTCAATAATGTAGTGTTGAGTTCCATACCTCACATTTAAAAGATACAATAAAGTGCAAAAAGTTTAAGACAAATAAAAGGAAGTAATTATGTATGCCATCGTCTTCTCATGCTATAAGAAATGGCTAATGGTAGTGCCAAACATAATAAGAGTGTATAAATCATTTTGTATTATGGTAGTACCCAGAGGGCCCTGGGCAGGTTGGGGACCCTGTTGTGCTAGGCACTGTACAAACACATGGTAGGAGATAGTACTTGCCCTGAGGTGTGACCAACAAAAGTTGGGACAAGAGAATATTATTCCCATGCAGAGGAAGAGATATATTAAACAACTTTATCCAGGGACACACAAAAGATTCAGCAGACCTGGGAACTGAACCCAGATCTTCTGACTACCAGTCCATTTCCCAAACTGCAAGACCATCTTTCCTCTGACCATCCCCTTTCATTCCAAAGTAAATACTTCCATTATTTTTAATATCTTGTAGAACTCACCCCTAATATCTCTTAAGTTTTATTTTCCTTCAAGCTCTTTTCTATTTCTGTTGTGTGGGTTTATTTTTTAAATGAGGTGACTGAAACACTGAATACATACATATTGAGCCAGTAGCCTCATCTAGACATCCACAGAGACAACAGTCTCTCTTAGGGAAGGTTTACTGGGGTTGTTTGTTTGGTCAACAGACCTAGTGGTTTAGGTCTCTCTTTCAGTTGAGTGTGTCCTGGACCCCTGAATGGGTCTCAGCTAGGTCGGCTTCCTTGATGGTAACACCTAGTCCGGCCCAGCCTACGGCT